CACTCTCACCCTCTTTCACGTCTCTCTCACTTTCTCTCGCGCCTCTCTCACTCATCTCATTCTCTGTTTCACTCTCACTTCTCTTTCATTCCCTCTCACTCTCTCTCACTCTCTCACTCCTCTCCTTAATCTTATCAGTCTTCACCTCATCCCAGTGTTCTGTCCATCTGTGGTTCCCTGCACCACCTCCCCGTGTTCTACCTGTGGTTCCCTGCACCACCTCCCCGTGTTCTACCTGTGGTTCCCTGCACCACCTCCTCGTGTTCTCCCTGTGGTTCCCTGCACCACCTCCCCGTGTTCTACCTGTGGTTCCCTGCACCACCTCCCCGTGTTCTACCTGTGGTTCCCTGCACCACCTCCCCGTGTTCTACCTGTGGTTCCCTGCACCACCTCCCCGTGTTCTACCTGTGTTTCCCTGCACCACCTCCTCGTGTTCTCCCTGTGGTTCCCTGCACCACCTCCCCGTGTTCTACCTGTGGTTCCCTGCACCACCTCCCCGTGTTCTACCCGTGGTTCCCTGCACCACCTCCCCGTGTTCTACCTGTGGTTCCCTGCACCACCTCCCCGTGTTCTACCCGTGGTTCCCTGCACCACCTCCCCGTGTTCTACCTGTGGTTCCCTGCACCACCTCCTCGTGTTCTACCTGTGGTTCCCTGCACCACCTCCCCGTGTTCTACCCGTGGTTCCCTGCACCACCTCCCCGTGTTCTACCTGTGGTTCCTGCACCACCTCCCCGTGTTCTACCCGTGGTTCCCTGCACCACCTCCCCGTGTTCTACCTGTGGTTCCATGCACCACCTCCCCGTGTTCTACCTGTGGTTCCCTGCACCTTCTCCCCGTGTTCTACCTGTGGTTCCCTGCACCACACTCCCCGTGTTCTACCTGTGGTTCCCTGCACCACCTCCCGTGTTTTACCCGTGGTTCCCTGCACCACCTCCCCGTGTTCTACCTGTGGTTCCCTGCACCACCTCCCGTGTTCTACCTGTGGTTCCTGCACCACCTCCCCGTGTTCTCCTGTGGTTCCCTGCACCACCTCCCGTGTTACTACCTGTGGTTCCCTGCACCACCTCCCCGTGTTCTACCGTGGTTCCCTGCACCACCTCCCCGTGTTCTACCTGTGGTTCCCTGCACCACCTCCCCGTGTTCTCCCTGTGGTTCCCTGCACCACCTCCCCGTGTTCTACTGTGGTTCCCTGCACCACTCCCCGTGTTCACCGTGGTTCCCTGCACCACCTCCCCGTGTTCTACCTGTGGTTCCCTGCACCACCTCCCGTGTTCTACCCGTGGTTCCCTGCACCACCTCCCCGTGTTCTACCTGTGGTTCCCTGCACCACCTCCCCGTGTTCTCCCTGTGGTTCCCTGCACCACCTCCCCGTGTTCTACCTGTGGTTCCCTGCACCACCTCCCCGTGTTCTACCCGTGGTTCCCTGCACCACCTCCCCGTGTTCTACCTGTGGTTCCCTGCACCACCTCCCTGTCGTGAAGGACAGCTAACTCTTAATATAATGATATTTAATTGATTAAATTGAATTACACGAAGGACCACCCTATTTTTACTGAAAAGGGAAACAGATAACTAGTGTAACAAAAGAACGGAGATAGCAGTGCCTGTGGATAATGTAATCATCATGAATTATTTGTTGAATATTAATGGACTGTAAGAATAATTATTATTCAAGAGTTGAACCTTCCCAAACTTCACAATTGGAGGTTAATACTAGAAGCTGAATTACTCCTAGTACACTTAATCGAGGCTGGTTCTTCCTCGGAAGAAATTAGTAAAATCTAAGAAATATAATTTGTATAAGTATTCAATAGTTTGGTTAATGACAAGATCATATAGTAATAAATGTTAGATAAGAAAATTGTTCCTATTTGATGCTCCTGTTACCTAGCAGTAAATAGGTTCCTGGGAGTTAAGACAGCTGCTTCCTGGGAGGGGGGGGTGTAACGAAAAGGACGCCTGGTCGAGGACCGGGCCGCGGGAACGCTAAGCCCCGAAATCATCTCAAGATAACCTCAAGAAGATAACCTCAATAACCTCTAAAGTGTGAGGGAGATATGGGGAGAGTGTGTATTGGTGGGGAGGAGGAAGGAGTAGGGGAGCAGAGATGGGTAAGTTGTGTGTGAGAGGGAGACAAGTTGCTTGTTTGTGTGGGAGGTGGGGAGGGTGTGGGGGGAGAGGTGGGAAGGGTCTGTTGGGAGAGGTGGGGAGGGTGTGTGGGGAGAGGTTAGCAGGGTGTGTGGGGAGGGTGTGTGGGGAGAGGTTAGCAGGGTGTGTGGGGAGAGGTGGGGAGGGTGTTGGGGGAGAAGTGGGGAGGGTCTGTGGGGAGAGGTGAGTAGGGTGTGTGGGGAGAGGTGAGTAGGGTGTGTGGGGAGAGGTGAGTAGGGTGTGTGGGGAGAGGTGAGTAGGGTGTGTGGGGAGAGGTGAGTAGGGTGTGTGGGGAGAGGTGAGTAGGGTGTGTGTGGGGAGGGTGTGGGGGGAGAGGTGGGGAGGGTCTGTGGGGAGAGGTGGGGAGGGTGTGTGTGTGTGGGGAGAGGTGGGGAGGGTGTGTGTGTGTGGGGAGAGGTGGGGAGGGTGTGGGGGAGAGGTGGGGAGGGTCTGTGGGGAGAGGTGGGGAGGGTCTGTGGGGAGAGGTGGGGAGGGTCTGTGGGGGAGAGGGTGGGGAGGATGTGTGGGGAGAGGTGGGGAGGGTCTGTGGGGGAGAGGTGGGGAGGGTGTGTGTGGGGAGAGGTGGGAGGGTGTGTGTGTGGGAGAGGTGGGGAGGGTCTGTGAGGAGAGGTGGGGAGGGTGTGTGTGGGGAGAGGTGGGGAGGGTGTGTGGGGAGAGGTGGGGAGGTTGGGTGTGGGGGGATAGGTGGGGAGGGTGTGTGTGGGGGGAGAGGTGGGGAGGGTGTGTGTGTGGGGAGAGGTGGGGAGGGTCTGTGGGGAGAGGTGGGGAGGGTGTGAGGGGAGAGGTGGGGAGAGTGTGTGTGGGGGGAGAGGTGGGGAGGGTGTGTGGGGAAAGGTGGGGAGGGTGTGTGGGCGAGGGTGTGTGTGTGGGAGTACACGTGGTGAAGGTGCTGCTCCGTACTGTTTATCCCCTTTTCCTTTCACAATTAATTATTGCTGCCAATGGTTGATGCCTTACCAACGCCTCGGGGCGGGATCAACCAAGAGGAGACACTATGGTTGTTGATGTTAAAGATTCGCTACCTGGAACAAAGTTCCAAGTAGCACGGGCTATGGTGAGCCCGTAGATAGACACTATGATAGACACTACGGCCCCGTACACAGTGTTGGGAACAACGAACACGGTTACTGGCTCAGTCACGCCGCATCAAATAGCTCTCTATACCCCCGCCTACCAGCCTTGTTGTACTCGTTGCGTTAAAGCTTCCCAAGTCTAACAATCACTATCTTTGTCGAACCTTTCCTTAAAGTTGTGGCTGGAGGCGGCTTCCACAACTTCTTCTCTAAGTGCATTCCACATGTTGATCACCCATACAGGGTACCAGTATTTCCTTACATTTCTTCGACTCATTTGCGATTCCAGGTTCCACTTGTGTCCTCTTGTCCTGCTGTCTCTCACCTTAACGAGGCTGTTCTTGTCCACCTTGTCTATTCCCATTAGTATCTTGTACGTTGTTACCATGTCTAATTTTTTTTCTTCTTCCCTCCATGGTTGTGAGATCCATTTCAATCAGTCTATCCTCATAACTTAACCCTCTAAGCTCTGGCACTAATCTAGTCGCAATCCTTTGCACGTTTTCGATTTTAGTTTTATGTTTCACATGGTATGGATTCCAAGCAGGTGCTGCATATTCCAGTAATGATCTAACAAAATTTGTCTATATTTCTTTGAACGCATCCTAATTTAGGTTTCTAAACGATGTTCTAATGTTTGCCAGCGTCCCATATGCAGCCGATGTCAGCCTGCCTACGTGTGCCTCTGGTGTTATGGTTGGAATTATATCCACTCCTAAATCCCTTTCTCTCTCAGATTGCCGTATTTGCCTTACATTAATGATGTAGAGACCTTCTAGTCTTTATTTTCCCTTCCCCATCTTCACTGCCTTACACTTATTAGGATTGAACTCCAGCAACCATTTGTTTGTCCACTCCTGGAGTTTGTTATTGTCATTCTATAACATTTTGCAGTCCTCCTCT